CCCATGGTGCGCACTACTATAGACGCAACGTCTTCAATGTCAGGGCGCCAATTTATATGTTCATAGAAATAACTTCAAGATATCTTATTCATTCGACTTGCGGAATATCGCAGAGCTTATAAGTAATAGATTTGTGCTCCGGATTTTGTACAGAGAATGGAATAGCAGGTTGACTAGTATTAAAGTTAAACTGCATAGGGTTCAGCCAGTCCCGTTCAGTATGCATGAGAGACAATATAAACTCTAAATGGCGTTGGCCATAACAAAGAAAGCAATGCTCCTCAATAAAACGTTTTCAGATTTGGCTGAACAGGAATAGTACTCATCAGGGCGGTAAAGAATACGGAGGAAAATACTGAGCCCTGATGTTCACCGTCGAGATCCTAAGCTTGCAAGAAAACAAGCCATCTTGAAAACAATATATTGGTCTTCCAACAAAGCTGCGTACTACTTGTTGTGCCGCAAAAACGGATTCAACTTTCTAGGTCGATATTTGCGTGCCACATTTAATACCGAAAATTCAAGACCAAGTTGAAAGAGGTTCAGCACTTTTTGTTAATAATGAATTTATATGTGGCCACGACGAACTTTTTGGATAGGTTTTAGTACAATGGGTGTTAAAGCAGTCGGTCTTATGTTGTCAAAATTATAGCCTGCCTATTGCCTCTTAAGCAACAGTATAACTTTTGGAAATCTTCCATTCATAAGGCATTCATGCATTCCTAAAGAAATAATTCACAAGGCCTGAAAGATCATTCGGATATTCTTTGTACAATATATGTAGCAATGTATTTGTTATTCTGTCGAGACCTAGTGCTGCATTTGAAAATCTTTCCCTGGCCTGATACTCTGCGAACGTCGATATATGTGTGTAGTTTGAAAAAGAGGGTGTAGACACAGAATTCGGAAGTCGTGTTGCGAACGTGTTTAGTAGTCATCGAGCCAATTGATGTAATAACAATTATTGTGGTTCTTGGGCGGAGAGAACCACGAGAGATATATTTCTGGCATTGGACTCATTTTTCTAGTACAAAGGAAATTAAATAGAGAACGGTTGTTATTCGATTTGCACAAGTAATCTCAATGTGTTTTTTTTGTGTAATTGCTCTTTCGTGCGCGAAACTGTACGTTTGAACGTAGCTGCAATGAATTAATAGTCCTTACAATATTGTGGACTCGTATCATGTATAGCTTTTTCATGCTGCTTTCTTTCTTCTGTTGTCGCGTGTGCACTCAATATTTGACCGTTAGCTGAGTGGGGCACTTTTGACTAACGCCGAAGCAATAAAAAATCACGATGTGTTTTTAAAGCTTTCTTAAGCTGAACGAACATTCAGACGGATGTCCTCATTTCGGCCGCTGGACACCGCTTCATTATTAGATTGCAAACAGACTATACAGGTTTTTCAATCAGCCAATGTTTTTTTTTTCTTTCTTGTGATCTTATAGGAGATGTAATTTTGAGTACGCCGACCAAGGGCCACTATGACACGCGAAGTCAAGTTCTCTCCTAGGCTTCACTGAAACACTTGAGGTGCGAAAATGAGATCTAATACTCACCATGACAGCGACCGCGAACAAATGTAGGCTGCCTGAAATTTAGACCGCTAAGATTTTTATGAATGATCCTATCCCAGAAAAAAGTACCGCAAACTGTTCTTCTGAACTCCCATGAAGTAAGGTTGCAGTTAAAGTCACCGGTAAGAAAGAACTCATTGTTGCAACAAGCTAGGACTGCATCTAATGGTTGTGAATTATACATGGCTGTAGAAATATATGCAAAAAAAAAACTGTTGGTGGCATGGCATACAGATGTAAATAGCCAAACGTTCACAGCCTGCTGAAATCAGCTGAAAAGCTACGCTCACTTTATAAAAGATTTTTTGAAATTGGCGTCATTATACCTGCTCGTAGTGATGAGTGATGTACTCGAATTGCTTGGAAATTGGGAAAACGTAACACGGGAAAAAGGCGCACTCTTGTACATAAAAAAAAACTTGCATTACTGGTGAAATCGCGCCCATGCGCCACATAGCTCAACGAATGAAAAACAATATTAAAGAGCTTTCTAAGCACGCGCAGAGTGGTAGAGGTTCCCTCTTCACGGGCTTCCATCTTATTCTTTTGCCACCTTGGGCCTGGTAAAGATCCGTGGCTCCAAGAATTATAGATACGCGTAAACTGCTTGCGTGACCAAGAAAACAAAACGTTCTCAGTCAGTACTTCAAATCTGTATTTTTAAGGCCAATATAAAGATGATAGTCTTTCTTGGGATACTTAGAAGCAGAAATTTTAGTCTATCTGTAGTTTTCTGCTTTTCTGTCTGCCACCAATTCATTAGAATGACGGAAGTTTAAACCCGTCCTCAACATAGTTTCCTATCAATACACAAGAGGTTACTATGGCGCTAATGTCTATAGGAGATGCAACGCGCGTCGCTTCAAGGAGCATGGGATTAATGGGCAGTACACAGATTTGTCTAATTTTATCACTTTTGGCTCAGGTTGGCTTCACGTAGCTTAAAGCTGCAATGTTAAGAAACAAAAATCAGCCAATGTTAAGCAATTACAATCGATTACCTTAACCATTTCGGCCTAGCATTTCAAATTGGCTCATGAAGTTCAAAAGGATTCGTTCTTTCTTTCATTATAAAACCAAAGCACAGCAAAAACGTCGCCACAAGTGCAATTCGACGCCCACGAATATGAAGACTGGGTGAATACGTGTACTACTCATCATTCCCGTGGTCGCTAAACAATTTTAGCGGGAATGTCCCCTCTTGGTACTTTTAAAAAACTCTTTGCTTCTCAATGACCAGCCATCTTATCTGGTTTCCGCTTTCATACGTGCTAACATTGTCAATAGAAAAAGAAGTAGCTATTATATTGGCGCAACATAAGTATGGGGTAATTAGGTAGTGTGTTATTTTATTCCTAAAATGCGTACACACCTAATTCTATATACTACACTGCTTATTGGGCGGGGTTGTCAATGCGACGATATGATCGAAAAAAAAAACGGGTGTTTACTACGCTTCGCTAAATGCCCGTAGTGCTGCCACCTGTCAGTGGCTTTGCGTTGCGGAGAAACTTCATTTCTTGCAATGACTGCTAGAGGAAGTCCATATCTCACTCAGTGCCTACTCGCGCATTTCCTGGCGCAGAACATCAAATAAACCATATATTCTCTCTCTCCAGACAAAAGGCTGTCGTCTTTCGACGACTTTTGCCAGCCGAACACGCAGATAGGCCGGCAGTTTTTTTTTCTTTATCAAAAGAAGGCAGATCGCAATAGCGGCCGTTTATTTAAAAGCAGGAGGTACCCAAGAAAAGTAAATTGATCATCACAGGGTGTAGGTTATGTCGTGGACAATATTCTCTGGAGCGGCGCTGGCATCTTATAGAGGAAAAAGAAAAACTGTGTACCCATGGCTCTGGTTACTGGCGTTGAAGGAAGCGATAGCACTGCAACAGCAAGTGAATGCATCTGTGCATGTATGTGAAGAAATAGGAGAAAGTTCATTATCACGATAACAAAAAAAGAGGTAGTTCTCAGTTATAAAAGCAAACATGAGTGCAGGTTAGAACATGTTGCTGCATAAGTGAGCGTTATTTAACCCGAACCTCCATAATTATTGCATAGTAATATTACCAAACTTGACGAATATGGCATTACGACGGTTTCTGGTGGACGCATCAAGATTTTCACCTTTCTTTCTCTTTTAAGGGGCGAAGCACCGCTGGCTCGGGACAAGTTCCTCACTGCGTCGTGCACACTAGTTCTCGAAGCGAGTGCTTTCGGCGCGCTTGCTTTTTCACTGCCGGGAGGTCAGTGAGTGCAAATCTTCACGCATCTACTCATCATGAACACTTTGCAGAACTCACAACGCGGCTGCATTGTAGACTTACGATCAAGTCCTGCAGTGAGAGCTCGCAAGACCAAAGAAAGACACTAGTGCCGTCCGCAGTCGCTAGCTAGCACTGCAGCATTGACCCGAAGGTGACGATGGCAGCGAGGGGCCCTAGCACAACCGAATTTGAGAGGGATCACCAACAAGTGAATCCCGAAGTGAGCCCGCAAGGTGGTGGCAGCACGCAAGCGGCGGCAAGAAAACCTCGATTCGGAGCGGACGCGGGAAACAGTGGTAAAACGCCGAAAGCGGGTTGTTACCAGCGCTTGGTGGTACCGAGGCGCGCTTCTAGTGAGACTTTCTCGATTCCTCGTTCGGCCACAGCTGCTAGTGGCTTGACATCTTCATCACGATCGCATCAATCCGCAACGAGCAGTCACGTGCCAACGCTACAACCTTTTATCCAACATTATCTCGCCACATAATACACCCACCACAAGTTCGTAATCTTGAAAGGAAGATTGTGTCCCACGGCTTAGTAACCACTTATTTATTTTTTGTACGTAAATTAATCAATAAATAGTTTATGAAATCTTGGGTGTCTGTAAGTTTATAGAATCACACTCTTATGTATATAATAAACATCGTTATATATGTGGAATATACAATCACCCCTATAATGAGTCGAGTCTTTATACGGTATGTGGGCGAACGTTTCACTGTTTTGCCAACAAACATTGCAGCTTCGCCCGAGCATCACTAGTCCGTTGGTGAAGATGGCAGTAGTTTTCTTTTTGTTGACCGTGCTGGAGGTCTCGCAACCGTTTCGTATGCGTTAATGTATGTCATTAGGAGAAAGTCATGTGCATTACTAGCGCAATCATGTTTGCTAAGCTAAGCTAAGCTAAGCATTAGTTATCAGCCTCTGCATCTATTTGTAACTATAGGATCGCAAGCATAGCTTAGTGGACTGCAAGTTCGCGGTATGCTCAAGGTGCACAAATACGGCGGCTTCCTAGAAAACTTGAAAAAGTGCAAGTATATAAGATTTAGAACAATGCGAGTTATGTATGAGCATGCACAATACCCGTATTAAACCAATAAAAATTCTTTACGCAAGCAATTCTTCCTTTTTGTTTTTTTTTTCCAGGCCTACTCTCTGGACCTCTCAGTGAACTCTTCACCACAGTTCCCGTACTGGTCGGAGGATGTGTTCTTGCAGCGACCGGCATCATAGCATCAGCCTTCGCCCCGAATATCACATGGCTCACGATTACGCTAGGGGCTATGCACGGTATTTGTTTAAACCAGTATAGCACATCTCGGCTTGTGTTCTGTTTTTATGCTCTTTAACAGCAAAAGCTGCCTTGAGATCACCACAAAGGCCGCATGTGGTGCCGTAGTTGTCCGTGACCGCTGGTGTCCGTAAGCACTATCTTGCAAAATAAGAACAAAAACAAGTAAATAAAAGCACCAAGGACTCAACTGGATTCTAACCAAGGTTCACTTTGTGCAAGATCAGTATTTTACCACTGAGCCACACCAGCTTTTGTTTCATTGAACTGCGAAACGCCAGCGCTGGATAGTACGTCGCAAACTGGCCTTAGGCAGGCTTGAAGCCGTAAAAGAAATCATGTTAATATGAATAATGAAGCGTTTAGGAACAAAAAGAAAACAGGCGTCACACACTGCGACTTGCATAACAAAAGACTCTTAAAATGCTCAAACCCATTACAAAAGCTTCACGCATAATTCTTAGACGGCGTCACCAAAAGAATAAAAAAATTCGCAAAATGATTTGAATGTGTGGAGTGGTTACTAAGCTTTTCCGAAGAATGACAGAGGATGCCTAATGAAATGCCTCTCTATACTTCGCAAAAGTTATAATGATCAATGATATAATGGGTACTTGGCAACTGTACTTGTACTAGTTACTTAAAGAAGGTAATAAACGTCAGGCCTGCACAGAAGGCACATCACAGTCATAGTGAAAGCTAGAAGAGCGGCTTTACAGAGCCTGTTCTAAACACTTATTGGGTATCTGCTGCGAGCACAACTGCTGGGTACCCACCATGGCAATACTAATAATACTTTCAGAGTAGTAGACTAGCATTCACTATGCTATTTTTCGTCTTTAGTCTGAGAAGCGTTGTATTTGCTAAACACTTGCAAGAAATTTTCTGCCAATTTATCATGCAGTAGCTGACGACGATATATTATGCCTGAAGTGATTGATTGATATGTGGGGTTTAACGTCCCAAAACCACCATTTGATTATGAGAGACGCCGTTGTGGAGGGCTCCGCAAACTTCCACCACCTGGGGCTCTTTAACGTGCACCCAAATTTGAGCACACGGGCCTACAACATTTCTGCCTCCATCGGAAATGCAGCCGCCGCAGCCAGGATTTGAACCCGCGACCTGCGGGTCAGCAGCCGAGTACCTTAGCCACTAGACCACCACGGCGGGACCATGCCTGAAGTGAGTCTGCGCAATGGTTATTAGCTGAAGAAAAACCACCATTTGCGATGACTCGGAGCATTGTACGACCAACTCGTTACTCTAATCGCAATATGTGACGCCTCGTTGTTCTTTCGCTGTTCTAAAATGCTGAATTACTCATATTAATGCGACTCCTTTCGCGACATCAAGACTGCCTTAAGAAACCTTGCAAAAAACGTCCCAAGCACCAGCGTATCTCAATGGAAGAATACTCAACTGGCATGCAGTGAACACGGGTTCGAGCCCCACTCGTTAAGAAAGAGCAGGAAAATGTGTGAGTGTAAAGCCGCAATACCAAAGAAAGTAGAAAATATCTGAGAATGACCTATTGGTGTCATTTTAATACTGACGCGTTGCTAGACAAGTCCCGTGAACTATAGATGCACGATATGTAGTGTGAATATGCTTTATGAGTTGACTTTATCAAATTGTAAGTCTAAGTTAGGCGTGGGCATCGATGTATGTGTACGTAGTGAATGCCGTTGTGGGCGAGTTTATGGAGGAAAATTAAATAGCCAATAATAGAAAACAAACCGGCGCAGTAAGTTCATATAACGCGAAAAAGAAACAACCGCAAACTGCGTGTAGTTGAGCAACGTTTACAATTATTGACTAGCTCATCAGTAGGGATATGTCAGCCTTATATAACTGAGACAAGTAGTACTCATTGCTGCCTGGTGAACCACTTTGAGGTGTTAACTGTGCGAAAAAAAGAACAGGTACCCACGCCCCCAGACGTTTGAGGAATGCGGAAGTTCTGAGAAAGATATATCCCTGCTTTGTCTTAGAATATCGCCTACAAATGAACGTTACAGCATGCGACCTATACAGCTGCCTGTTAGCTTGAAAACAATGTGCGCTAACAGAGCAACTGCTCGCGTTTTCAGTGGAGTCAACGTACTGTAAACTTTTGAAAGTGTGTGTACAACAAAGCGCATTTATTTGCGCTGTCTTTCAAGCAAAATGTATTACAGAAAGAGCCAAGATACATGACTAAGAAAAACAGAAGTCAGTGGAAGGTAAAAGGTGGCAATGCAAAATTAGAAAACATGTAGAATGCTGGCGGTAGCATTGTGACAAGCGGACTTGTAAACGATGCAACTGCTTTGTATGCCGCTTCTCCAATTCCGTCAAAGGAGCAGAATAGTACAAGAGCATAACGAGAAGGCGGGTTTGAACGAAGTGCTGTCGAGACGAATTGGGTGAGTAAAAATGCAATAAGAATATTTAGTGAAATATTAAAAAAGCAGGAAAATGAGGAGAGGCGATTAGCCGAAGCATAAGTTGCACAGAATCATGGTTATCGAAAGAGAGCTCCACTTGACAATTATAGTTTTTCAGAAATAAGCAGTGGCACAAATTTCTGAAAGGACTTTATTTTCATCAGTTTTCTTCGCGTATAAACCAATTGGATGGCATAAAAAGCCCTCTTTTAAGCGTGTGTAGACGCTGAATTGAGTGCGGTAAGCTTGTGAATAATGTATAACTGCGTATTATCTGTTTTCTGTGAACCGGGGCTTTATTTCCAGTCTCTCACAGGACAGTCCAAAATTTTCGTCATACAATACGAATCATTGCCGAAGGGCGTTGTTGTCAAAAATGTCAGTTGCGTGTTGTTTATAGCTTTGCAAGTGTGTACGTAGAAGACATCAAAAGAGGCACTGTGAAAGTTACAAAAGTGAAGACCAAGTGGTATAACAGTTATTGAACGTGCTATTCAATTTATCACATAATACAAACAAAACTAAGGTCTGTGAAGCATTCAGTACTTGCTAAAATGTACAAATCACAGAACTACTCGTCAACGGCACCTGCTGGTTGGACACAGACAGAAAACTACGTGGAGTCTGCCCGCTGATGTCTAATTTCTTTATTGAACTGTGCCTCAGAGATTTCCTCACATAGTGTCGTCAATACTATGTGCAGGTCTGGGTCTCGGCATCGTGATAACCATGCTTCAAGTCCTCATCAGCATGTACTTCGAGCGATACCGCGGTGCCGCCAACGGCATCATGTTCGCTGGCTCCACCGCCTCTGCATTCATCTTCCCGCATTTGCTTCTCTTCCTTGGAAACACATACGGGTTCCGAGGTAGCCTTCTCCTGTTTGGGGCCGTCCTCATGAACATGGTTGCTGTGAGTATTGCCTTCAGGGAGCCGCCTTGGGTGCGACTACAAAGAATCAACAGCAGAAAAGGCGTGGAGAGAACACAGCGTCTCTCACTCTCCACTGTGCAGGCGGACGACGAGACTAAAGTGTCTGCCATTGAGGCTGTGCTGCGAAACATTCGCTCAGTGCTGCAGTGCGCCATGATATACGTTCTTGTGATAACGTGGCTAGTGTTCTGTTACAACTACGATATCTTCTTCTCCACGGTAGTAGACTTTGCTATGGACAAAGGAGTATCTCTGGAGGACGCTGTGTCTTTCATCACGTACACCTCCATCACGGATCTCGTTGGCAGGGTTATACTGCCCATTCTGACCGATCGCGGCTTCTTGGAGCGGTCAACGTTAATGGCATTGGATTATTTTCTGCTCGGTTTATGTGCTCTGTCACTGCCTTTCTGTGAGTCGCACTGGACACTGTTGGCAGCTTGTCTCGGTGTTGCTTTATTTTTGGGGTGTGCCATCACCATGCAAAGTGTTCTGATGGCGCAGTATTTGGGACTAGAAAAACTTGCCGTGGGCTATACGGTTCTTGGTGCATTCTGCGGTCCAGCACTTTTAGGGAAGGCCCCTTTCGTAGGTGAGTATTATTTTTATTTCTTTTAGGGAGCGGGTGTGCTGTGCGTTACTCACAAGAGAACATGTGAGATTTCATATGTATTCAGTGCCAGCAACTGTTTATAAAGGGTTGTCTCTTCAAGCAGGATATAGTGGTCTATCGACCCATTCAATAGAATAAGTAACTAAATAGAAACTTTACAGCAATTTACTGCATATTCGGGAGCCAGAACTAAGAGGCGTGACTAAAAACGTTGGCATATCCCACGTACAGTGGAAATTGATGATATGCGAAACACGAGAGAGGAAGCTTGATATGTCAGTTTGAAATCAGCACAACGTCAAGGGACGAACGTAAATTATACCGTACATGACTTCAATGTCATAATTGTCATGTTTGGACGTGTCATTTACTTTCGTTGCCTAATGGCGTCACGTGATACCAAATGTGATATATGTGGAGCTAGCTGAACGGCCACGAGTGCACTATGAGCGTAGCCTGTAGTCATGTTTTAGATGACGAGAATATAGTGATTATCATGCTTGGACGTGTCATTTACCTTCCTAGTTCATTCGCGTCAACTGTTACCAAATTTCGCGTATGTCAAGCTAGCGAAACGACCGCGAGTGAATTATGAGCGTAGCATGTAGTCATGTTCCTAATGTCAGGCATCACATGATTATCATGTTTGCATCTGCAGTCATACACCTTCGGCATCCATTCACGTCCCGTGATACCAAATTTTGTCATGTAGTCACGTGGTACAATACCAGTTTTACAATAGGTCATGTGAACCAAAGCACCGCAGGAGCAGCACGACCATAAAATTTAAATCATGACATGTGTGACATACATGTCATCATTTTCATGTTGTGACTAGCCACCTATGCTCATCATACAGTTATGCTGTACCATACCAGTTTTTGTATTGATACCATTTTCTAAATGACCAGGAGAGTAAAAGTCGTAGGCGGATAGATAGACCGATAGATGGATATATATATATATATATATATATATATATATATATATATATATATATATATATATATATATATATATAGATAGATAGATAGATAGATAGATAGATAGATAGATAGATAGATAGATGTGACGTAGGAAGATGTGACGTATAACATTGATAGTAGAGGCAGAGGAAGAAGTGACAGTGGAATTTTGGGCTACAGCCACAGGAATGTCTTTGATGCCATTCGAAATTATATTCATAAAACAAAATGAATGCGCCTCGAAATTCCTATTTGTATATTTGTTATTATAGTATTAGGCAAATTCTAAACATAAATTTTAAACGCGTCTGAAATCACTGCAATTTCCATTCAGGATATATATTAATACACAACAGCCGGCACAGCCCGGCTGCAAAAAAGAGAAAGACGACGTTGGTGGCTGGTTGTTGATGAACTTAAAGATATACAGTTCACACCAAAGAGTCTCGTTTTACGCTTTAATTCAAGAACTGACTTTATTTTTCGAAACTCATTAGTCGCGACTACACACCCCGCAAATAGTATTTGCACAAGCGCTACTACAGCAATAGAATGTAAAAATTAAACATATTCGTCCAATACACAACCTAAAGTCAATGCTTAGCATACAATTCGATGATATATTTCCTCATAACGCGAAACAATTGGCATATAGGTATTTAAATGACCAGTTAGCAGATTATCTAGCTCACCTAGAGATAAGCAATATCATAGCGACTGATGCATCTGTGTCAAAAGAAAAGGCTGGGGTTGGCATCTTCTCTCCTTCTTTGGACTGGTCCTTTTCGATTCGACTCCCAGATTATACCCCGGTATTCATTGCAGAATTATTGGCCATTGTTCTTGCCCTACGCAAATTGCCCTCAAGCGAATCATTAGCAGTTATCATTACTGATTCGTTATCAGTTTGTAATGCACTTTCTGCGGCAGTAAATTTTGAGCTGATGAATACGTTCCGGCATTTAGTACCGAAAAACGTAAAAAAACTGCATTTCCTATGCGTACCAGGCCACCACGGATTATATTTGAACGAAATGGCGGACTCTTTAAAAGCAGTATCCCTGGGTGGGCCCACCATCCCAGTTTTGCCAGATACGGCTTACGTAACAGCGCTAAGGTTCCGAAATGCTTGCCTGCAACGGGGAAAAAGTAATTTGGATAAATTCAAAGATTTCGAGCATTTGAGCTATTGCTGGAATAAACAATGGTGTGCATCTAGCCAGTTAGAGGTCACTTATACCAGATTGCGCTGTGCAGTTCCACAACTAACTTATTACTCTAACAAAGCTCGGCTCAAGACGTCACCGCTATGCATTTGGTGCGATGAAATGGAAACAATTGAACATTTCTTTTTATTCTGTCATCGTTATTCTTATCAGAGAAAAAAGATTTTTAGTAGCCCCATTAAAAAAGCTTGGAATACAAGTAAATCTACCAATAAATTTATCACTTGGCGGAACTTCATTTGGTTACTGCCACAGGGATGTATGCTCCGCGGTGTTTGATTACATCAACGCAACTAAAACATTACCATGCTAGTGAACCCCTACCTTTTCAGATCTTTAGTTTATAATTCGTAGTTATGTCTTTCAAAAACAAAAGATGGTTTGACCGGCTGCTCAGCAAACATTTTTGTTTTTTGGTAGTAATATTTTGAGCTGCTTTTTCAGATTGGCTTTATTTTTATTTTAGTTTCATTTAAGTATCCTGCCGCCCGGCTCTTGGCCCATCCCCCTTTGTGGGTAAGTGCCATTCATCAGAGGTCATCAGCATCAGCATCAGCAACTGTCGCCATCTTGTTCGCCGAGCACGGTGCATCATATTTAATTTATTATATAAGTTACCCGTAACATTATTGGTGGAGGTGGACGACTCCCGTACCTCGATGGAGACGCGCAGCGGTCGCAACACCGGAGACTCTGCGGCTACTTCAACTGCCAGTGCCTCATCACCGCCGGCCTCTTGATCCGAGTCGACAACCTACGTCACCCTGCCACCCCTGCGGAATCCTGGAACTTTCTCTGCTGACGGTACCATCGACGTTGACTCCTGGCTGCACCGGTACGAGCGAGTCAGTGCTACCCAGCGCTGGGATCTCACGCTCATGCTCGCCAATGTTGTGTTCTACCTCGACGGCACGCCGTGGACATCGTTAGAAACTAACGAAGCCGGATTCACAAGCTAGGATCTTTTCAAATTGAAGATCCGTGGTCTTTTCGGCGATTAATCTGGTCGTCAGCTTGCTGCTAAGAAGACTCTCACCACTCGCGTCCAGATGTCTACTGAATCGTACGTCTCATACATTCTTGACGTCTTGGCGCTTTGTAGCAAGGTCGACCAGCGCATGTCAGAAGAAGAAAAAGGCAATCACGTCTTCGAAGAGATTGCTGACGATGCCTTCAACCTGCTGGTTTTTAAGAATGTCACAAGCATCGACACAATCCTTACAAAATGCCGCCGTCTAGAACAGGCTAAAGCCCGCCGCGCCACCCACGGCATCACGCGCCTGCCGAACACAGCTGCTACTTCCTCTTGCGATGACGCCGTCCGCCCAGTTCCCCGATGTGACAACCTCCCCCGCATCATTCGTCGCGAGGTCGAGGCAGCCCAGCCAGTAGCGACTCCATTTCCAACACCTGATTCTTCACCGACCACCATCTCACTGATACAAGCCATCGTTCGTCAAGAATTATCGAACGTCGGCCTACACCCCATTCAGCCAGTCTACTCTGCCGAGCTCTTTTATCGTCGTCCCTCCGCTCCTCGATTTGGTTCCAACTACTCTCGACAGCGCAATTTGTCTGAATGGCGTACACTGGACGACAAGCCCATATGCTTCAACTGCCGACGTGTCGGTCTATTGCTCGCCACTGCCGCAATCACTGGGCTCCGCTGGCACACTATGGGCCTCCTACCCAGGCCACTTCTGTCCACCAGTCGTCATCGACATTTGATTTTGATTTCCCTATGCCGACCACATCCTCTGATTCTGCCGCACCTCTGACGAGGCCTCGCTACGTCCGCTCACCATCCCCTGCTCGCCGTCAATCTCGTTCGCCCCCACAACGCCGTCCTGCCTCTTCGACTTATTCGCAGCGCCCCCGACCGGAAAACTTGGCAGTGCAGCTTCTGGAGGTGAAGCTGCATTGACGATGACCTCTGCAAGAAATCCTCGCGTAACACTACCGACCACCCGGAATCTTTTGAACGTTACTTCAGACAATGTACCTGTGCGCACGTTGATCGATACTGGCGCTTATGTGTCCATAATGAGTGCTGCTCTTCGTCGCCGCCTAAAGAAAGTTATCAAAGCCATCTTGAAACGAGCCGTTCGAGTCGCCGACGGGGGAACTGCCGCGATTATTGGCATGTGCTCTGCCCGTGTGACTATCTCCGATAGAAGCACTGCTGTTCTTTTCACCGTTATAAAATATTGCCCTCATGAAGTGAATCTAGGCATGGATTTTCTAACCGCTCACTCGGCCCTTATAGATTGTTCAGCCGGCTGTCTTGATTTTGAAATGCCTCTACTTTCTGATCTTACCAACCCACCCCAAAGTCGCCTTTGCTGCATTCATTTCGCACGCCTTCCGCCTAACTGTGTCACACATATCGACCTCTTCTCTACACCACCTGTACCTGACAACGATGACATGGTGGGCCCAATTCATGCCATGATGCTTACGCATGGCGTCGCTGTTCCGCACACCATTTTGACAATCGTTGAAAACCACACATGCCTTCCTATTGTCAATTTTGCCCTCACTGCCCAAATTTTTTCACAAGGTATCTCCCTGGCCGAAATTACTGCTCTACAACATCATACGGTTTAACCCTTCAGAGTGGATGATTGCTGCACCTCAGACCATGAACCAACTTTATCACGTTAATCGGGCGTCGACGCTGACCACATGGTACCATCAGACCTCGCTCCTGATCAAGCGGAAGCCCTTCGTCACGTCCTGTAATCCTATAGTGACATTTTCGACTTCGCCAGCACGGCTTCAAGCCGAA